TGTTTGTCTCAGGGCCAATTAGTCAGGATTTTTTAAAAAAGGTTACCAGTTCTACGTTAAATTTAAGCGGTTTATTACATAGGAGTATATTTATTTGTTTTTTTTTACTTTTTAAACTATGCAAAAAAATAATTAAAATGACATTTCTTTATAAAACAAAAAATAAGAAATTTCCTACAACACTCTATCAACCTTCTTATTTTTCTTATATCATATGAAACATTTGTTCACACCACCTAGACGAATCTCAACTAAACCAAAAAATTTAAATTGTCTAAACCAAACCAATTTAAGTTGAAGCAAAAAAATTGAATAAAAACAACTGAAATACTTTTTTTCATGGAATTAATTGTATGTTAGACTCTTAGTTTTAGTTGAGAGATTTAGTTCTAATATAACACATACATGTTATGTAACTCCATCAACGAAATTTTAAGCTTGTTTACAATTATAATTATATTTCTTATGCAAAAGAAAACAAAATCTGTTAGTCACTGTTTTTAAGAATAACTATAATTTTCTTTGTGTTTTGATCTAACCCTTTTTAAAAAATGTAATTTTATAAATTTTATACACAATTGGTGTATTTCTTATGATTTATTAAATAATAACATGAATTTGGTGAAAGCTCGTACAATCTGGATTTTGGATCATGGGATTTTGGACTCCATTTTATTAGATTGGAGTGTTGTTGTCATTTTTTCTGATAAATATGAGGGCTTTGGAGGCAATATTTGAGGTAGCAGATTAAATTTGCCTCAATTATTATTTGTAGTGGTTGTTTTTTATAAAAGAAAAGTTTATTATTGTTTAATATTGTCGGGGTTTTAGACAGAGATCTGTGAAGGCGGTGGGGCGAGAAATTGTTAATTTAACACAAATGAGGTTCCACTTCATTGGAGGTCTGACTTTCCAATATTTAATATCCATTACAATCTTGATTAAGAATCTCCTTTTACAATCTAAATATTTAGCAGAAACTGTTACAAATCTTTCCTTTTTAAAGTATATCTTAATCTGAAACATCCAAATCGTTTCATTTTATTTAGAACAAAGTGCTAACTTAGTAATAGAATCCGTCGATGAATTGACAAACCATTATTATCTTTAATATTAAGCTATTAACGACAATACATATTTGGTACTAGTTTTTGTAAATTGAATACATATACTGTTCTAATTGATCTGATGAAGAGGTTTTTTTTTGGTAACCAAATATGGTGGTTAATATTACAGACACATAAATAATTCCACTACATATGGTACTATTTTTGGTAGTTGAAAATTTTCAATATTTATTGTAATTGAATTGATAAAGAGGTTCAATCAAACATCAATACCCTTAAATATCATACCTTTTGATTGAAGATATATACAATTTAACATCTCGTTTAATTAGTTAGTGTAACTTTTCTGTCAACAGTTTAATTAGAATAATGTAATAGTATGAGATTTAGGATATGCATATACAATTGGGCTACCGCATGAGGTTGTTGTACTAACTTTTATATATACAAATTAAACAGATCGGATCTTCTGTCTGAATCGTAGTGGACAAGTGATGGGACTCCATTTAATATTTGTCTTTGCTAAGATCCAAATCTCGATCTCGAGAGGTACTTTTAAGTTGAAAACTTAACATAATTATTTCTCAGCATATTTTTTTATGTAAAATTATTTAAAAATATTTTAATCACACAAGTTGAAAGGCTAGAAATGAATACTGCTTCTCAGGTCTCAAAGTCGATGCTCAACACATGTGGTGGAGAGAGTTGCGGCACAGGCTTAAGGATGGTTTTGATCACAATACAAAGAAAGCTCTCCACTCTCGAGCTTAGCCACTGCTTTGGGCAAAATATCAAATGGACTCTTTCCATTTCGAGTACCTTTTAAGTGTAATGTAGAAGCTTCATAGTGTGACAATACAGAACAATGTGGTGTAGAGTGGATTTTGAGGGATAAAAAGGGGAAAGGTCAGATGGTTTGGAGTCAAATTAATACTATCCTAAACTACAGTCGGCTTTGTCTTGGTCTATGTTTTGTGTCAACAATTTGAGAATGGAGAACGAATCATTCAAGAGTGATTCCAAAAGCTTAATGTGTAGCCTCAAAGATCCACCAACACAATGGCCATGAATACTCCAAAAGTATTCAATATCTTTGAATACACTATAAGAAGTAAAACAAAAAAGAATTACAATCTAACAAATAGTAATCACTCCAAGCACAAATCATATGATGGTGAGGGGGTGGGGGGGGGGTTAATAAGCTAAGTAAGTACATGATATTAATGATCACACCTCGTTATTATCAATAACATGAATTACATAAATGATCATGTATGATAAAGCAATGTAATTAGTATGAAAATGTAGTGGCAACTATATAGTACTAATTAGTAAGAAGATATTAGTGTTTGCGCTTGGACTTCAAGGAAGTGAGGGAGTGAGAGTTGTTGTGCCAATTCCTCTTGCGTTGATTAATGAACCAATTGTTGATTTGCTTCAACTGTAATCCTGTCTCCTCCACCAATTTTGCCTTGTCATCTTCCTGTTGAAATCACATCTTTCTTACATTATATACTTATTTTGTTGTTGCTAATTACATTATAGTTCTCACACTCTACTTATTTATTTTCTGTTATTTATGTTGATGCAATTTTATAAAAGGAAAAAGACACACAAAAAATGACATGTGTAGATTTCGTTATGTTTTCACACTTGTCTAAACATTCGAATTCAGAGCAAAAAGCTGGTTATATATATGATTAATAAAATTTTAAATCATATGTAAATACGTATGTATTAGACTATTAGTGTTGGTTAATAAATGAAATAAAAATGCATCGAGTGTAAATCAAAACTGAGCCCGATTGTTTCTTTGCGTTCACATGTTTGCATTTGTTGTTGGTTCATGTTATAATACTGAGAATATTATTTCATGAAAACGTAAACGCAAATGAAGAATCGGACCCAAATATGTGTGTTTGGTTCGTAAAACAAGAGTATAAAAAGAAAGTATATATACTCACAGTAGGGTAAGGCCACTTGCAATGTTGTTGCCACCAATTTTTCAAGACAGTGGTTGTGTCTCCAGGCAACTTCCCAGCCCTTCTTTTCCTCATTATTTCTTCTCTTACATCTTCAATTCTCGATTTAAAACCCTTCTCGGAAAAATAAAGTAAATTTAATACAAGAACGAAAAAGTAAATATCATAAACATATATATTGTTGTTGTGAGTCATAACATTTGTTTTACCTGTTTGAGTTCGAGTTTAAGTTCTTGCCTGACTCTTTCCATAAGAGATCTTTCTGATTCAGTAGGAAGCAATGGACCAAATCCCGTCATATCGTGCCCGCCGGTAAAATCAACGCCGGAATTATCCGACGAAAAATCCATCTGAAGATCGTCCTCGTCCTCGGACATTGTCGCACCAGACCCTTCTCCTAACGTTGCTCCTACAGGGAATAGAGAGAAAGTTTAACTAACCAAATGTTTTTTTTTTATTGATAAATAAAGATTACAGCAACGACTTTAGTATTCCGCTCTACCAACTGAGTTAAGGTCGGATGCTAGCTTAACGAAAAATTACTCCAATTACAAAATTTTAGATGGATTAAGCCCAAAATCACTTTAGCTTAAAACAAGCAACACAATGAAAACCAAAAATATATCAATGTGTGTATACATGTACAAGTGTGTATATACTTAAACAGTTAAATTTTGTTATTTGGATGGTTGTGCATGTCGGAATATTCTATTGTCATGAGAAGAAAAAAAATATAATAGGGTAAGTAACTACGTGGAAATGTGGCAGACTGTTCCAAAACTGAGTAATTGCGTTTCAACACACCAACACGCATTTTCTTTATTTTTAATCTCCTTTAAGGAAAAAAGTTAAATGATTCTACTGCCTTTAATATATCCAAGGCTTCGCAGGTACTGTCTCTTGGCACATTTACATCTTTGGAATAATCATATATAAGTTAAGCACAAATAAAATCCATATCTTATATCTTATATTTAATTGTGAAAGCTATATTCTTCATCATCATCTTCCAACACATACATTTAGATATGTTTACCGGTTGTTCCTATCTGGTATGATCAGCAAGAACCTTTACATACCTAACTTACTTATTTGTTTTAAATTGCCTATTTTTTCATTGAAAATTTATTATCGTTATTATTGTTTGTGGTACGTACGTTCTGTTTTTTTGGTCAATCGTTTTTGGTTCGTTCACATAATAAAATACTACTCTTTTTAATGTATATATATGATATTTATAGCTTTTTTTTCATGATATTCACATTAATTAATAAATGAAAATGTCTAAAAGGCTATATATTTTCTTTAGAAAAAATCTGTAGAAAAATTGACATTTGATAATTTGTTCTTAATATTTTACATAATTACATAAATAAATATAATAAATTAGGAGAAAAAAACCTGTAAGAGAGTGGAGGTTGTTCTCAATTTCACGGCAAGCCATCACAGCTTCGACGGCATGAACCCTCACGTGTTGTTGCAGCTGTTCTTTGAAGCTACACAACACCATTATATATTGTGCCTGTTTCCAATTTATTATTATTATTTTTACCAACATATATATTACTATAATCATTCAATTCCTTTAAAATTAAAAACGTTTCCATATATATGTATACATACATATAAATATGTACATCTGGTGTGGTCTGTTTTGAGCGGTTGCATCATTCTATAGTCCTAATTCTACTAAATAAAAATGAATTCGAATTACTTTTGAAACAAATCTCAAACCAATTCCAAAACTATA